CATGGCTTCACCAACCCCACTGAAGGCAGCGCACAGAGATGCTGACTACAACACATAAGGTGGCCAACTTCCATAGAGTCCTATCATAGAATCCTAGAACACCGGACCTCAAAGGGACCTTGAGAGGTCATCGAGTCCAGTCCCATGCCCTTGCGGCAGGACCAAGCACCATCTAGACCATCCCTGACAATCTGTGTTTGTCCAATCTGATCATAAATATCTCCAGAGATGGGGATTCCACAACCTCCCTAGGCAATGTATTCCAGTGTTTGACTAACCTGACCGTTAGAAACTTTTTCCTAATGTCCAACCTCAACCTCCCTTGCTGCAATTTACGTCCATTGCTTCTTGTCCTGTCCTCAGAGGCCAAGGAGAACAATCGTTTTCCCTCCTCCCTGTAACACCCTTTTAGGTACTTGAAAGCTGCTACATGTCCCCTCTCAGTCTCCTCTTTTCAAGACTAAACAAGCCCAATTCTTTCAGTCTTCCCTCCTAGCTCGTGTTCTCTTGAGCTTTCATCACTTTTGTTGCTCTTCTCTGGACCTTCTCTAATTTCTCCACATCTTGCCTGAAATGTGGAGCCCAGAACTGGACACAACACTCCAAAAGAGGACTACCTTCTAAGCCCCCAAAACTGAACACTCTTGTCCCACCCCGCTTCACCCCCGCCCTGAGGCCCTGCCCCTCCTCTGAGACTCCACCACGACTCCCTCCAACCCTACTCCCTCCGCCGTTGCTCTCCCCCATCCTTCCTCACAGTCACCGGGCTAGGGCAGGGGCTTGGGGAGCGGGAAGGTGTGAGGGCGCTGGCGAGGAGCGAGGGCTCTTGGGCAGGGTGAGAAATGAGCAGTTCAGGGTGCAGGAGGGAGCTCCAGGCTGGGACAGGGGGCTGGGGTATGGGAGGAGCTGCGGGCTCCAGGTGGGTGTAAGGGGTTTGGAGTGCAGGAGGGGGCTCAGGGCTGGGTCAGAGGCCTGTAGTGTGGGAGGGGGTGTGGGCTCAGGGAGGGAGTTAGGGTGCAGGAGGGGGTTCCAAACTGGCGCAGGGAGTTGAGGGTGCGGGCTTCAACTGGGCGGCATTTACCCTCCTGCCCCGGCTCTGCGTTGCTGCGGACAGCGGCCAGCACACCCTGCCCTAGGCAGCTGGAGGCGCATCCCCCACAGTTCCCAGCCGACGGGAGCTGCAGCAGTGGCACTCAGCAGGGGCAGCACGTGGATAATTTCTTGGCTGGTCACATCTCCATGGAGACCACCCTTTTGCCAACTGCGCTGCCTTTGACCTGAGATGGAGACTGGGCCGCAGGGTTCTTCAGGGGTTTTCCTAAAGGCTTCTGCTGAGCTCAGAGCCCAGTGGTCAGGTGCTGTCGAGACACAGCCAGAACTCTTGCGTTAAAGAGTATTTGCGTACGATCATGCCAATGTAGACGTAGCCCTGGAGAAAGTATGATCGAGGCCCTTAACTTGTGACTTGCAAATCTTCTTCTGGTTCTCTGGAGCTGTGGGTAGTCTGTGATGGAGAATGCATCTTATCTGCCCCTTCCCAGGAATGGCATATCTTCACACCCAGGTTTTCAAGTAGGCTTGAGTGGGGATTTTTAAAGCCCCCTGGTGCTAGCTACATCTGTAGTTGTTCTTTTCCAAGAATAAAACAGCCCCTGGTTTTACTAAGACACCTTAAGGCTGTGTAACAGAAGCAACATAAGAACATAAGAACGGCCATACTGGGTCAGACCAAAGGTCCATCCAGCCCAGTAGCCTGTCTGCCAACAGCGGCCAGCACCAGGTGCCCCAGAGGGAGTGAACTGAACAGGTAATGATCAAGCGATCTCTCTCCTGCCATCCATCTCCCCCTCTGACAAACAGAGGCTGGGGACACCATTCCTTCCCCATCCTGGCTAATAGCCATTGATGGATTTAACCTCCATGAATTTATCTAGTTCTCTTTTAACCCCTGTTATAGTCCTAGCCTTCACAACCTCCTCCGGCAAGGAGTTCCACAGGTTGACTATGTGCTGTGTGAAGAACTTCCTTTTATTTGTTTTAAACCTGCTGCCTGTTAGTTTCATTTGGTGGCCTCTAGTTCTTGTATTATAGGAACAAGTAAATAACTTTTCCTTATTCACTTTCCCCACACCACTCATGATTTTATAGCCCTCTATCATATCCCCCCCCTTAGTCTCCTCTTTTCCAAGCTGAAAAGTCCCAGTCTCTTTAATCTCTCCTCATATGGGACCCATTCCAAACCCCTCAGCATCTTAGTTGCCCTTCTCTGAACCTTTTCTAATGCCAGTATATCTTTTTTGAGATGAGGAGACCACATCTGTATTCAGTATTCAAGATGTGGACGTACCATGGATTTATAGAAGGGCAATAAGATATTCTCTGTCTTATTCTCTATCTCTTTTTTAATGATTCCTAACATCCTGTTTGCTTTTTTCCCTTTCACCAAGGGAAAATTTGCCTTGCTGGGTCTGAGCCTTATTGTCAAAGGTATAATGCTATTGCAGAGGGGAGTCAATACACATGCTGTGATTCCAATGCCCTTGGGACCAGCTTGTCCCGGCTAAGCACCAGTTAACTATGCAAATACTCATGTGAAGCGTTCAAGACACATTAGTTACTGCAGGTTGCTCGTCTCCGATTAGGATCTAGATCTACACACTCCGTTTCTGGGGACTCCATGCCAGAGAGTGACTTTGGCATCCCACTATTCAGGGAACGTGTTTCCACGTGAGAAAAGGAAGCCGGCAGGTCCTGCATTAGCCAGAGAAGGTGGTATAGCCTCTAGAGCAGGGGTCTCCAACCTTTTGATGCATGAGATCACTTTTTGAATCTAAGTGTCTTCCAGGAGCTACCTCAAACCTAAACATCCTTGCCCCGCTTCTTTCCCACTCCTTCTCCATCCCTGTCCCCCTCTGCTCTGTAGAGATGGGGTACAGGGTGGAGGGAGGGGCACCCTGACATCAGCACTCCACTACCTCTTCTTCTTGAGCACCTTCCAGGCAGAGGGCAGGAGCAGCATGGCAGTGCCAAGAGGGGCAGCTGAAGTGCCGGCCCTGGACAGCCTCCCGGCCAAACCTCTCAGGATCACCTGTCAAAGGTTCCAAGATCTACCAGTAGATCCCGATCGACTGGTTGGTGACCACTGCTCTAGAGAGCCTATTCAAATCTGATCCTCCCAAATGTTCCCTTCCTTGAGCTGTTAAAATCAACACAGGCTAGCATAGCTCACAGGAACTGTGGACGTGATCCCATCCTTGTCACAGTTCAGGGGGTTACGCTTTTCCCTGGAAAGGGGAGTTGTTTTTCTGTCTGCCGGTGTTTTAGTTCTGAAAGCCCAAAGATGGCAGAGAACTTTATTGCCAGTGACTGAGCGTCTCAAAATCATTCAGGGGTTTTATTGCCTGCTACAATGAATGGGACTTCTGGAACAAGACTGGGAGGGAAGTGTCTGTTGCCACTAGAGTACACTTGTCTCAGCATCTGCAGTAGAAGCCATGATTCTTGAACCTCAGCCTTTCTCTGTTGTCAGCAAATAGCTTCGAAACCCACTGACCAAAAGTGCTTCCCATCTCTCTCGAGTAGTGGCCCCCAGACAGGACGATAATTTATGATTGAACTCTACTGATCTTGCAGCTCAAGTGGAAGAGGGCCTGAGCACTGGATCTAAAGGTCCTAATGAGAAATGCGGGTGTCGATATAATGTCACAGAATGTTATTTCTGGTTTTTCAGTTTGCTCTTTTAAAAATCACAGGACATTATATTAGAAATTACATATAGTCAAGCTTTCAAGAAAGAAAGAAGCAAGCCAGCCCAATGGCTAAGCCCTTCTTGAATATATTACACTTATATCCATGCTACAATCCATGTTCTGTTTTTCCCCAGAGTTCCACTTTCACAGTAATTGTCGAAGACCGAGGTCAATTACAGCACTGAGAAACAAAAAATGTAACACTGTCAAAGAATGGAAACTTCCTTCTGTCGCTTCTCAGTTCATTTCAGACTTCCCAGTTCCATCCATTAGGATCGCATAGTACTTATTGCAAGTCTTTGTCTCTTATCATCAAATCAATTTCTCTTCCAGGCAGAACATTATTCCCCCCACAGTGGGCCTATCAGATAAAAAGAAGGCTGCTCTTTCAAGCTGCTCTTTAAAGACTTAATACAACTTTTCAAATTCTTCAGGAAACCACTTCCTCTTTCAAAGGCAGGCGATTAGGGATTTTGCTCAAGAGAAAAATGGAGAGATTGGAGTCCCTTATGTCTCCATCATTCTTTTCACAGGAACCATACATCCTCCTTACAACTAGGGAACACTGTCATTTCTGTCACTCTCCTCAGACACTCCCCACTCATCTAGGCCCATGGCTCTCAGACTTTTCAGACTTCTGTACCCCTTTCAGGAGCCTGGATTTGTGCTCCCCCCTCCCCACAATCACCCTTTAAACATAGCTAAAAAACCTCACAATTACTGTGTTACTTTATTCATCATACCCAAGCCTGAGGTGGCTCTGCACCTGGATTTCCCATCAGGGCAAACATGGGAAGTAGAGAGCTGTCATCTGGGAACCCGGGAAACAATGCATTGACCAGCAAGAGATATTTGGACTTTCCTAGACCAAAAACACATTGGATGATGGTATTTCGTATAAACCGACGATATGACCTTG